TGCATAAAATCTCTCAGAACTAAAAATCCAAGTGGCTGGGAACGAGAAGTTGAAGGAAGTCAGTATTAGAAGATTGTACTGGAGAAATAATGACACTGAAAGTTGATATTAAAAAAAAACTGCAGCACCTGATGGTCTATATCAGAATGTTAAAGGAGGTGGTATTAGAGATAGTGAATGCATTGGCCATTATCTTCCCATTGTCTGGCATTGCCTGGCCCCTGACCTCTATTGCTGATTCAATCAACAATTGTGATTGTTGATTGGCCATTGGCCATTGTGATAATGGCCTGACAACCTGGTTCTTGCAATGTCAATGATAAATTCTCCAATAACAGCCCTGCAGTCTTTGACTGTCAGTCAGCCATGTTCTCTCTACAAATACCATTAGGATCAGCACTGCTGGGGTTAACATGTCAGAAAAGATGAAGGGTCTAGGCCCGAAACATCAGCCTTCCTGCTCCTATGATGCTGCTTGGCCTGCTGTGTTCATCCAGCTCTACACCTTGTTATCTCAGATTTTCCAGCATCTGCAGTTCCTACTATCTCTGATGGATTTGATCACTGGCAGGTTTGACTTTAAGTTGACAGTTAAACTGTGACTCCTCTTTAATATTGAATGAGAGCAGTTTCATGTATCGTTGATGGTACTGATATATAGTGTTCTGGAGTTCTGATAAACACTGCCCTATATCACTGCCTTGGGACTCGGACCATTCTGATCCGGTGCTAATAATAGCTTCTGCCTTTGTATTCCCTCTCTCAACAAGCATGGGGAAAAAACAGACCTATTATTCTACATTGAGTGAAAACTGCTTTACAACGCTGGGGTCATGTTATCATTCCACTGTTTGTATTCGAGTATTTGGCAAAGTCGAATGAAGGAGCCTGTTGTGCTTTTTTTTAATGTTTCCATGATAAGTTTCAGATGACAATATCCTACATATTTTGTCCTAATAAATAATTTAAAATCTTTCTGGCTTTTCTGCTTAAGAATTGGGGCCAAGACACACACATGCACGCATGATTTCTCTCACTCTTGCACACTTGCATGGTCACTTGCATGCACACGCTGTTGTGCGTATGAATTCTCTTGCGCACTCATTCTCACACACAGTTGTGCACACATATGCACGCACACTCACTCAAATACTCATTTTCTCATTCTCTTTTCCATTGTCTCTCATGTTCTCTCTCTCTCTCTCTCTCACACATGCCCCCTCTCCCACGCACATCCTCTCACTCCCTCTCACACACATGTATGTTTCAGTATGATCATCATGCAACTTGTCAGGAAGGGTTGGCTGGGGGAAAGATTGTCCCTTGTGTTGCATGAGGAATGGTTATCCTACTGACGTTAGGAGGTTGGTAATGGTATCTTACTGTCAAGTGAGGATAAAACCATTCATTAATTTCATTATTTAAAGTTCTGAAGAAAGGTACCATTTCACATCATGCATTGCATGCCTGTGTCATTTGTTATGATCCCAACTGATCTTATTATTGAACAAGTCAGATCCCAGTCTGAAATGTGGCTTGATGGATTAAATTCTATCTTGTTTTAGTTTTGACAAGGTGGTATCTCACTGAAACTTAATGTCACAATGTTGCAGATTTGTTTTTAAACAATAAAATGAAGGTTTATTTAGCAAAGGAAATGAAGATAAAATACAATAAAGTAGTCTATTGACTTGTAATAACCAACTTAAATATTTGCAATATGTGGTTAAATATGATCCAATTAATTCTTAAAACAGAGATAGTAGGAACTGCAGATGCTGGGAAATCTGAGATAACAAGGTGTAGAGCTGGATGAACACAGCAGGCCAAGCAGCATCATAGGAGCAGGAAGGCTGACGTTTCGGGCCTAGACCCTTCATCAGA